AGAACATCATAATTGTGTACATGTAACTATAAGTTTAATTGGACTTTTTCTGGCTTTTCTGGCCAATGTATTTATTATTTAAGAATATTTAATATTTATTCATCAAGGCTATAGTTTCCTTACAATCCCATATATCAATATTTTCCTAGTGTTTCACACAAAGACATGGTTTTCGTATTGCTATGAACCCCTACTGACATGAACACAGATATGTACATATTCATGCGCGCACACGTGCACACACACACACACACACACACACACACACACACACATGGGAGTGTGTAGGTGGACATATGCCGCACATAAGAATATAAGAAAAAATACGAAAAATACACAGTAAAGCCTCAGTGTTCAAAAAGCCAATGCTCTGCGGGATCCTGGGAGAAAATCAGTTACGCTTTCGTCTGTTGACGCTTCACACATACTGCTCAGCTAAAGGAGTGTGAACCTCTGTTGACTTTGGTATACACTCAAGAAACGACTTAATATTTTAGCTTTCTTATATATGTAAACATGCCATTTTAACCACGACAACAAAACGGTCTTATTGAAAATGGAATGAAATAAAAATAAAGATTTTTAGCGCACCTATCAGGCAGAACAGCAAGATGACCGCCTTATTCTCTACCTGGGTCGTGACCATGATAACACGCATGGAATCATAAAAGCGAACCCTACATTATGATTATCCAACCTCGCAGCAACATAACATAATCATTATGATGAAAACATGTTAGCATCCTACACTTGGCAAATCATTCATTTTCGCTAAAAAAAAAAAAAAAAAAAAAAAAAAAAAAAAAAAACTGACCAACAAACAACACGTGTCAGTGAATCTCTTTGTATGTAGTGAATGCCCGCAAAATTAAAACGCAGCTGATCCATTCACGTCGAGTCAGAATTATGAAAGGAAAATTAAATGAAACAAGGCCGAAAAAATGTAAAATGATATCTTTAGAGCAACCAAACAGCTTTATTTACAGAAATGTGAAATGTTTTTCTACTGCAGCTTTTCTGTCACCAGCTGCTGAGACGTGAAACAGGAAATAGCCAAGGTAAAGACAGTCCCTCTGCAACTTATTCTACATACATATAAACATACATACAGGGCATAAATACAGAAAAAAAAATAAAAATAAAATGAAACGGTTGCAGTATAGGCGGAATGAGAATATCGATGGGCATTTCACTGCCCAAAATACCGTACGAGATTTCCAGAATTTCCGAAATACCAAAACTGTTTTGCTTGATTTCCGGATTTCCAGGCAGATTACTGGATTTCGAGGGATTTTCAAAGTTTTCAAAAGCGTTTAAAAACCATTAGATCATTGTAAATGTTTCAAATACTAAGCTTTTATCAGCTGATACCTTAAAGTTTCCACATGCAATGCGCTACTTTACATAACACATGGCTGATTTATCTAACCCTTCAGACAAAAAAAATCTCAATATTCCGTTTTCGTCATGATTTGAGTATTGTTTAATCCAACTCACTTCCAGAAATATCCAAAAATTACTTGGAAATCTAAACATTTTACAAGGAGCAATCCTGTCGGAAAAATTACGGGAATAGACATTGAAGGCTTAAAATCAACTCACTTGACCTTGCAGCTACATTCATAACATCCTGTGCTGCTGTTATTGAAATAATGCTTTACCAAAAGCGCGTTTAAGCATTACTGTCTGACTGATGCGTAATCATTTCCCCGGCTTTTTTGCTTCATTTTGATAAAAGCCAGATTTCTCAAATAGGGATTCCGCAGTACTGGTAAGTACTAAAAAATCTCTGTGTACCCAAATTTGGCACAAAGGGTCACAAAGCATATATTTACGAAACTGTATCAGCAATGTCTATTAAATCCACTTGTCCATTTTTTAAAAAGGTTTGAACATGAACATTGATTTAAAATAACATTGTTTTAAGGCCGTACGTTTTATGTAAAAAGCGTCTAAATCTGACATGAATTATTTGTGCTATTATTAAATCAATTGAGTGTATTTTCAATCAAATTCCATGGCAACTAAAGAAAATCTCCTGCGCAACGGCCTCAACATGAGCACTCTGCCCTTCAACTGCTCAGGTGTTTGTCAGTCTATGGCACTTTTTTGCCGACTTTGACAAACATCTTTGGCACTATTACCAAGATTTTGTAAGAGAAGGCTGCGAATGGATCATTTGCGAGATTGTAGAATTCTTGGGATTTCCTGATTTCCTAAAAAAATCTTTAAGGATTTCCATTTTTTTCGGGTTTCCAGATACGGTGTAAAGGATTTCCGAAGTGAAATGCCCCTCGGAGAGTATGCTGTGGCACTGTTTAATTTTATGTTTGTGTACACGCTAATGAGCTTGTGTTTGTATTCATACATATGTGTGTATTTATGAGCGTGAGCGTGTGTTTATGTATGTATACATGTATATGTATAGGCTCTGCTACTGAAAAGAGAATGAGAGTAAATTAAGTACCATTTTCCAGTCTCACTTATGTTCATTATTACCGGCAAGGAAAATGAAAGACAATGGCGTGTTGTATTCATGTTTGGTAATAAAATAAGATACTATATCACTTATACAATTTACAGATATATATTACAAATAGCCTTCCTGTGAGTAATATTAAACCTAAATACAACTGACTATTTTGTCACTGGTACAGAACCATTGCGTTCGGAGCTTCAGGAGGATATGTAGTAAATCCTTCGTCAGGTTAAACAGGGAATGCTTCGTTTTCTTTCGCAAGGACTGTGGAGAAGTTTCCCTGCACTTTAAGTACAACTGCGAAAATTGTTATGAAGTGGATATAATGATAATGATAACGAAAACATTAATGATATTGTAAACAAAAGTATTACCGTTACCATTATCACTAAAAGCAAATGGTCATCCAGAAAGGATTTATTATTCAAGAAACTGTTTTATCTGAGACATATATATATATATATATATATATATATATATATATATATATATATATATATATATATATATATATATCCAGTTATCCATATATGAGACAAAAAAATCCTTTGTCTTCCATAGAAAGAAAGGCATCACCAGAACCTTGTTCCTGTGTCGACGGTCTTTAAGAGAATACAAACGAAAATAGACCAAACATGTCAATAAATGTATTCCCCTCAGAATATCTTACTGGAAACTGATTTAAAGCTGAGTGATTGGTGTCTGAAAAGATTACATGGATGAAAAAAAATATTTATATGTGAGCATATCGAACGCTTTCTTGCCAAGGGGTAACAAACGTATTTTTTTTTTTTTTTTAACGTTACAGTCAATGATTAATTTTAAGGTATTTTAGTCAACGGTGCTTAAATAACTAAATGATTGATAATATAATCTTATTTAAAGGTTTGGTGATTATTGGCAAGAGTTCTTACGGCAAAGTATTTTTTTAATGAAGAAAAAAGGAGAGAGAGAGAGAGTTCAGTTCTTGTTAAAAAATAATCCGAAAAATAAGATTTGTGACTATAGGCACAAATTAGAGTAGACTGCTCATTGATTTTGCATTAATGTCCTGTTCAATATCATCAATGACTGTTAGGTACAATGCACAAGGCCAATATTCCCAAAGATGAAATTAATTGTGTAAAGAATTTAATTTTCTCACTAATAATAACATCAGAAAAAGAAGCTTATTAACAGAATCTCCAGTTTTTCCTAGTCCATATATATATATATATATATATATATATATATATATATATATATATATATATATATATATATATATATATATATATATATTACACACACACACACACACACACACACACACACACACACACACACACACACACACATATATATATATATATATATATATATTATATATATATATATATATATATATATATATATATATATATAATCGTGCAGCGCAGATCCACTGCACTTTTCTTTTCTAATTCAACATCAGTGTTCATTACGAATAGGTATGAATCGATTTTGCAGAAAATTTCCATATCAAAAATCAGTAATACGACTACAGATAACAAACGCGTAATATCAAATCCTATAAAAGAGATCTAATTCTAAAATCTAAGATACCTTAGATGTATAGACTGTGACCATATACAAATATTTATCACTTATGAAAAGTAATATCATGACATATTTAAAAATATATTCTTAAAACTATTTTTATATACAGAGCAATATTTTGATACTGTTCACATAGGTATCGCTACATGCTAATGTTTTTCATGCTCAAAGGCAAACATCAAATCCAGATCTTGTAATCATATAAAAAAGTGAATTTCAGTTTAAAGTCAAATTTCTGTCATTCTTCCTTCCCTGAAAGTGATAAGGTTATTATGACAGAAATTACAGAATGATTAACACACTTTTAAAATGATTTCCCTTTATGTTCTTTGGATAAAACGGACCATTAATAGAGGCAAAGAAGTGTACAGATCTCACGTCAGATTTGTAGAGTAAGATGATAATCTGTTCTGCGATAGTTTAATCCTTGGAAATGCGTTGAACTTCACCTTGTTATGCCAAACCTAAAAATTACATCTTAGCTACAGCAGTGGACGGAGGATAATATTCAGTATTATAATACTGTGAACCTTACATATACATACATACATATATATATATATATATATATATATATATATATATAATATATATAATATATATATATATATATATTGTTAACGATATTCTTTTATGAAAAAATCGTATGCAACATAAGGCTACAATTTATCAAAATACTGTTTTTCTAATACTAAAAACAGTACATACCACTGTTTAACATAAAAAAACAAATTTCCTGGAATTAAAGAGGATATATTTCCAATCGTTATAGACCTTGTATTGATAGTTTCACTTAAACACAAAAAAAGGACGGAAGACCTGACACGACTTGAGCTTATCGGGGAATGCGTGAAGAAGACAAGGTTTCACGGACGAAGACGAGCGTCGGGGAGAGAGCAAGGGAAGGCGTGAGTGTGAGAGAATGTGTTTGGCGTCTGACCGC